GACCTTGATATATACCTAAGGAGGATACTGGCCATGTAAATAACTAGTCGTTAGTCAGATATTTATAACGGCAGTCGTACCCGGAGCTTTTTAGAGTTGGAAGGGTCTATGAAGCCACGCTTCCTTACCTTCTGTAACGATTTCATCGACTGAACTGTCTCGCCTGTAAATTACGGGGGTTGCGATCACGTGATTGGCTGTCTCAAAAATCATATCAGGGAAATGAGACGTCCATTGGAAGCTCTAATTTTCCAAGTTTGCTTTGAGTGTGACCTCCTGGCTTTTCCAGGAAGCTGTGAGGAGCAGAACTGTTGGAAAGGCATCTTCTCTATAGCACGGCTGTTGATCTCGATTCGAGGTCCCCTAAAGTTTGTCATCGCGACGCCTTCTTTTTCCTTTCTATCTCCTTCTTAAGTATTCCCATTCTTAGTAAACTTAACCCTTATAAAAGCTTTTCGAGCTGCTGACATAAGTAACCTTAGCTCCATCGTCCACCACTTGGTATATCGCTTGGAAGCAATAAGTTGTCATATAGGATTCGCTCCTCCGTATACAGAGAGGATGCTTCAGACCTCAACTGGTTGAAGTTCCTCCATACTGGTCTTTCGAGAATTTTTAAATTTTTTTTTGTTTTTAAAAAGTTTATTGGCCTTATTCATAAAAAATAAAGTAGCTTTATAAAAGGTTTATAAATTGAAAAATATATGAAAACGTCAATTTATAAAGCTCTTTAAACCTACTTTATTTTTTATGAATAAGGCCATATGTCTATAACCTCCTCTTATTCGATTGTATACAATGAAGTAATTGCCTTTATTGCACAGGGTAAACTTTATAGAGCATAAGAACCCGAAAAGAGACACATCTCGATCATTAATGCCCGAGCTGTTCCAAGCCATTTGATGGATATTTGGATTCCAGGCAGCCAGCATATTTAACCCTCGTTGCTGCGTCCTTCGGTGAGGATGTTACCGTGGGATCAACTTAACCGTATGACATGTTCTATATAAGAAAGTAAAGATGAGATTGCCTTCTCCGCTAGGCTCACACATTGCTACTATTAAATTGCGGAACTAGAATAATTTGAATGCCTTTCTTGTCAAAAATACAGCTTCCAAACTTACCTTCAGTCGGTGAGGTGAAAAGTATGAATTTGCTAGTAGCTAGACTTGTGACTCTGCCCGCTACCAGTTAAGGCTCTTGAATAAGAGCCAGTCTGTGTCTGCCCCAACCATGAAGAGCAGCAATATTTCCATGAGTTAAGTAAGTAAATCAAAGTATGTACTTGTGCAAGCTTCACTTCAACCGCAATCTCCTTCATTATTTCGAGTATGAGTTCAGCTATCACTTTTCCATGCATATCCCCACTCAAGATCACCTATCTAAACAGGATCACATTTACGTTTTGATTACACGCAATTCCCCTCGGCAAAGTCTTTTAAGCGAAAGAAATTGCATGAATGTATAGCTGCATGAAAACCCAACAAACAAAAAACTAGAGGTGAATATAGGCTTATTGCAATGTCAATTGAAAAATTAAAAATATAGGTTTTTATTTTCGTTTCGTTAAGATGAAAATGCAAAGTGAAAGCAAACCTCTAAAGTCCACAATGAAGTATGTATCAAAAAAAAAAGGATCAGAGATCACAATCCTGGCGCTTATCACACACACTAAATCTTCCCTCCTCTCGAATAGTCGAGGTTGAGCTGCATAGCAAGTCTATTGACAGAGGGTATTAAGTGCAAATCCTCTTGAATGCACGCCTGAAAGCGTACAAAGAGGATGTAGTGAACAAGCAATAAAGGTATGTATGTATTTTTAAGTGCATAAGTATGGCCATACAGAGGTATATACAGTGACTCAAATAAGTGTTCACGTGTTGACTTTTTTTCAAGTAAAATTTTTTTTCTATACAAATACTTTCATATTATTCAAATCAAATCAAAGTTTCATACATTGTACAAAGTTCAGGAAAAAATTTCAAAGTTTTCAATCTGAATCTTAAAAAATTGTTTTGGTATGCAGTTTTATAAGCACACCACAATTTAAATCTAATGAAGTGCATGTTGCAAGCGGCTAATGGATTTTGCCGTTTCTTTTTTTAACCGACTTCCAAAAAAGGAGGAGGTTATCAGTTCGTCGGAATATTTTTAACCGACTTCCAAAAA